TGCGTGCAGTTTAGGAAACATGGCTAAATAGATACTAAATTGAAAATGAATGCAACAATAGAGAGAGAATGGCGGGGGATAGAGGTGAGAAGAGAGGAAGGAGAGAGAGGGAAAGGAGAAAGGGAAAAGGAGAGGAAGAAAGAGAGGGGAAACAAGAGTAGGAGAGAAGGTTAGAAGGGAGGAAGAAGGGAGGTGTGGGGGAAAGGAAGGGAAAGGAGAGGAGGAGAAGGAGAAGAGGAAAGAAGAAAGTAGAAGAGTAGATGGAAGAAGGGAGGGAAAGGAAAGAGAGGAGAGGGAGAAGAAGGCTTGTTGTAAAACAAGGGAGATGAAATGGTACAAGAGCAACCCTGAATATAATTCAATTGTTCAGGATGAAGATTGTATTAGTATGAAAGTTAAAAGAAAATATGTATGTCAGATAAGAAATTGTACATTTAAGATATGTTTATGAGGGGAAAAAAATAAAAAACTTTTTCAAAAAAAAAATAGAAAAAAAAAGAAAACATGGCTAAATAGGAAGGCATAGCGCCGGGGTCAGTGGTGGGTTGCCCGCGGTTCACACCGGTTCTATTGAACCGGTAGTAAAACCGGCGGGAGGCTCCGCCCACTGAACCCGACGTCATCAAAATGCTTCTGCGCACCGAACCGGCTGAAGACCACCTCTGATGATGAGCAGGTTTGGCTTCCTTATAAGTCAAACCTGGGACACGTCTCATGTTGTCATCCAAGCTGGTTCACTCATAAAGTGTTGGGTTGTGTGTGTGTGTGTGTTTTAAAAATTAAACTCCTCTCAACTACAGGTAGTTCTCGACTTACAACAGTCCATTTAGTGACGGTTCAAAGTTACAACGGCACTGAAACAAAGGGATTTAGGACCGTTTTTCACACTTATGACCTTGCAGTGCCCCCGTGGTTGTGGGATCAAAAATTCAGATGCTGGAATGGGTTTGAAAAATCACCCCCGTTTAACCAGGGGTGGGATTCGGCCGGTTTTGACCGGTTTCTGGTGTACCGGTAGCTCTAACGATCAGCTGAGAACGAACCGATTCACTCTGATGAATCGGTTAATCTACCTATATTATTTTTGTTTTAAGCCCAGCTGATAGGAGCGGTAGAGCGGATTGCCGCGCCTCAGCTGTTCTATTCACTCTGGATTCCCTCCCCTGAGGAAGAAAAAGACTTTTCACTCCTCATCCAAGAAGCTTCATCAGTTCTGAATGGAAATACAGTAACAGTTCGGGAGCAAGAAACGAGGGACACTTAAGATCACTCCTTAGTTCAAAGATGCTGCTTTTTTAAAAAAAATATATTTGAGGAATATTAACCGACAGACTCAATGGAATGTATTTGTACCAGCGATTGTATTATTAGCAAGCAAAAGTTCCTTTCCTGAGCCTCGAGCGGGTTTTAAAGCAGCTTAGATGCAAGAAATGTAGTTTTATTGAGAGCGGACTTGTCCTGAAACAAACCAATATATCTTGAGAGAGAGATCTAATGCTTTAATCCTAACAAACAGGGGGAAAGAAAAATCTCCCAAGACTTTTCAACTGTAAAATCGGCCTCCCCCACCCCCCATTCCTTTCCCCAATCCTTCTTTGCCAAAAGGAATTAGGTGTTCTCAAAACAACATTGTTGTCTGTTTCTATGGGGTAGCCTTCCTTGCAAACTTAAGATAACAAGATGGCACATTGCTGGATTAATAAATATTTACTACATCCCTTTGCGAACAAGCTAAACAGAAAGAAAATTGCTTTTGGCACAGCCATCAGTATAATTCTTCCACCAAAAAAAATATATATGGACAAATATCACCATGATAAATTTTCCCATCCCGACTATCTTTTAATATTCCCGAGGGAATCCAATATTCCAACAATCAGTCCATTTCCCCCACACACTTCCCCCAAAAAATCTTTTTATCCTCTCTATTTTGAGTTAAGATCTATAGTTGGGAAGTGAGATCAGTGGATTCAATTATTTTTTACTACCGGTTCTATGGGCGTGGTGTGGCTTGGTGGGCATGGCATACTGCAAAATCTCCATTCCCACCCCACTCCTGAGGGAAGGATATTGCAAAATCTCCATTCCCACCCCACTCTGGGGCCAGCCAGAGGTGGTATTTGCCAGTTCTCTGAACTACTCAAAATTTCCGCTACCGGTTCTCCAGAACTGTCAGAACCTGCTGGATTTCACCCCTGAAGTGAGATATGGTTAAAGGGAGAGGCTGCAAAAGTACATCAACAATTCTACTTGATGTTTTTTGGACAAAAATACAACAACAAGATGATTGTCTGAATAATTGTTTTTTTAAAAAAAATTATTCTACTATATCTGAGACCTGGAGAGATTTTGACTCACTTTGAAGGTCTATGGTTTGGTTGTTGTTTTTTTTTTTTTTCATTTCAGTCTTACACATCTCAATTCCAATGTTTTGGGGCCACTTGCAAAACACAACTCTTGAAAAGAAGATTTTTAATTGTTGGTTTCAATTCTTTTGGATTGTTTGTGTGGAGTCCTTGGTGCTCTCTGAGCTTTGGTTGTTTTCTGGCAGACATTTCATTTACAAGAAAATAAGTTATCAAGGACTCCACAATTCAAGCCGGAGTCTACAAATATTCCCTGCTGTTTGATCGTTGTATTTCGTACTTCTGGTTTTGGGTGTGTATGTGTGTTTTATTATAAACAGCTAAAGGACGAGGATAGCAGGCAATGTGGGGGGAAAAATCAACAGATAAACACTAGATATTTCAAAACTGAACTGAACTCTGAAGAAGCATGGCAGATGATCTAAACACCAAATGATTCAATAAATAATGGCCCAGAATTTTTAAATCATAAAGTTGGAAGAGTCCAATCTTTCACTGAAACTGTCAAATCTTTCCTGCTATTCAAAAAACAAAAAAAAAATCCTCCCCAAAAGATTTTTATTTTATTTTTTTGCTTAAAAACATCCAGCCAAGAAACCCAACTCCCCTTTTCCACGGTCTAGCTTCTCTCAACGTGAAGCAGTTTTTCTCCTAACGTTAATTGGATTAATCTGAAATCTGCCTTTTTTTGTACTTTAATTCCACAAGTTGCACTCTGGGAAGGTTGAAATCGTATGAATCCAAAAACTATCTAGAATCTTAGAGCCGGCTGATTTGTAAACCTTATAAATCATTTTTTTAATAATAATAATAATAATAATAATAATAATAATAATAATAATAGCAACATCAATTCTCAGAAAGGAGTTTGCTGACCAAGCGTCCCTCAAAAGCCTAGTTGGAAAGAAAAAAAAAGAGAATTGAAAGAAACAACTTTGATCGTGGGTGCTTTCCAACCACACGCACGCAAAACGAATTATTCGAAATACAAGTAGTCCTCAAATCCTGACCATGATTGAGCTCCAAAGTTCTGTTGCTCAGTGAGACAGTTGAGTTTTGCCTTCTTTTAGACCTTCCTTGCCACAGTTTGAAGTGAAGTGAATCCCTGAAGTTGTTATGTTAGTAAAACGGTTGGTAAATGAATCTGGCTTCCCTTATTGACTTGGCTTGTCAGAAGGTCGCAAAAGCGGATCGTATGACCCCCCCCCCACCAGGGACACCATGGCAACCGTCATAAATATGAGTCAGTTGCCCAGCGTCTGAATTTTGATCACGCGACCACGGGGATGCTGCAACGGTTGTAAGTGTGAAAAAGGGTCATAAGGCACATTTTTCAAACATAGAACAAGCCACCCAAAACTGTGGCCGATCCACAAGAAATATTAGCAACCCTTTGAGGGCGAAGCTTATGCCCACGGAAACAACCTTGTGTTTCTTTTAGAAAAATGAATGTATCTTGATTACCTGTATATACAGGTAGCGAAAAGCAAAGCTATCAGAGTGATTTAAATAAAACACAGCAACCAACTGGTTGGCTACAGATTTTTTTTTCTTTCGGTAGCAAAAATTCCTACTTAAAAATCCACCGCCAGAAAATAATATTGCAAAAATAAAAATAAAATGAACTGATTTTGACTCTCTCTCTCTTTCTGTCTCTCTCTGTGTCTTTCTCTTTCTCCGTCTCTCCCTCTTTCTCTCTTTCTCCCTCCCCCTCTCTCTATCTCTCTTTTTCTCTCTCTCTTTCTCCGTCACTCTTTCTCTCTCTCTTTCTCCGTCTCTCCCTCTTTCTCTCTTTCTCCCTCCCCCTCTCTCTATCTCTCTTTTTCTCTTTCTCCGTCTTTCTCTCTCTCTCTCTCTCCATCTCTCTCTCTCTCTACTTTCTCCCTCCCCCCTCTCTATCTCTTTATCTCTCTTTCTGTCTCTTTTTCTCCATCCCTCTCTTTCTATCTGTCACTCTCTTTCCCTCTCTCTATATATTTGTCTCTCATTCTCTCTCTCTTTCTCCTTCTGTCTCTCTCTTTCTCCCTCCCTCCCTCCCTCTCTCTGTCTCTTTCTTTCTCTTTCTCTGTCCGTCTGCCCCTCTCTCTGTCTCTCTGTCTGTCTGACTCTCTCTCATAAGGGGCATCAGGGGCAGAGACAAGATTTTGCAAGACGCGCATCCTGCCCCATCTCTTCCCGCTGCCCTGCCTGACCCACGTCGCGCACGGAGGCATTGCTGTTCCCCGTTTGGTCTCGCCGGCGCGCAGCGACGCTTTTTTTGCAAACTCGGGAAGTACCTTCCTCGCCTTCACCATCACCTCTCCCGGCTTTACAAAGGGGAAGAAGGGCCAGTGGTGTGTCATTGACCGGAGCGTCCCCCTCCCCTCTCCGCAGACACTTTCCCCTGTTCCCCTCTCCCCAGCCAGCGCCCCCATCCTGACTCACCCGCTTTATCCTTTGATATTCCTCTTTTTTTTTTTTTTTTTTTTTGGAGATTGTAATGCTACTTTTTTTTTTTCCCCTGTCTTCCGAGCCTCCTGATTGGTGCGGGGGAAGCCGTTCCTTTTTTCCTATTGGCCGGTGGAGAAAGAGAGAGGGGAGGGGGCGCGTCTCTCTCGCCTTCCCTTCGACGGGGAGGGCAGAACGAGCCCAGCCGGGCAGTTTGCATCGCGCCTATATAAAGTGGAGCCGGGCATCCTTTGCGCATCAAGCCAAAGAGAGAACCTGTGAAGCGGGAGCGGAGAGGAGAGAAGCGGAGATTTTCCCCCGACGGGCCGGAGAAAAGGAACGTCTCAGGGCGCTGCTAACCCAAAGCGGGGAGATCGATCGACGGCGAGAAAGCCAGTGCGAGAGAGCAAGGCGCGCACATACACACCTACACGCATCTAAAGGCGTTGCTTTTGACCCGGATGGCGTCTACAGGGATCCAGCTGCTGGGTTTGACCCTGTCCATCCTGGGCTGGGCAGGGGCGATCTTAGTGGCCGCCCTGCCCATGTGGCAAGTCTCGGCTTTCATCGAGGGTCACCTGGTGGTGGCGCAGACTACCTGGGAAGGGCTCTGGATGGCTTGCGTGGTGCAAAGCACCGGGCAGATGCAATGCAAAGTCTTCGATTCCATCCTGGCGCTCAGCCCGCAGATCCAAGCCGGCCGGACTCTGATGGTCATCGGGGCGGTGCTGGGTTTGGTGGCTTTGCTGGTGACGGTCACGGGAGCGCAGTGCACCACCTGCCTGCGCGGGGCTAAGATCAAGGACTGGATCGCGGGCATCGGAGGCGGGCTCTTCCTCCTCTGCGGCTTGCTGGTGCTGGTGCCCCCCTCCTGGTTCGCCAACACCATCATCAGCAACTTCTACGACCCCAACGTGGAGCCTTCCAAGAAGCGAGAGATGGGAGCCGCGCTGTACCTCGGGTGGGCGGCCGCCACGCTTCTCCTGATGGGCGGCGCGCTCATCTGCGGGGCATCGGCTTGGAAGGACGACAGCGGCAGCTTCCCGGTTAAATATTCGGCCCCCCGCCGTTCCGCCGCCCCGGTTTCCAACGGAGGAGGAGCAGAATACGACAAAAAGAACTACGTCTGAAAAAACTTCTGGCTAGGTCGGTCAGAAAGGTCGGCGGTTCGAATCCCTACGAGGGGTACTCCTGCAGTGAGCAGGGGGTTGGACTAGATGACCTCCAAGGACCCTTCCGACTCTTGTTACTGTTAAAGCGTCGTCCGCCTTAGGGATTTTGTTTTAATTTAAAAAAAAAAAAAAAGAGCGCCATCCACCCCGTCGCGGGGCCGAGGGAAGAGTTGCCTGGACGGGGAAGAGGCGAGGGATAGCTGGTCCTCAGATGAAGACCTTCCTCCTCGCTTTTGTGACTTTAGAGGGGAGGGAGAAACTATTTGGGGAAAACAACAACAACAACAACAAGAAAAGAGAAAAATTCGCACCCGAGACTCTTCCTTTGCTTTGAGAATTCTTCTCTGTATGGACTTCGAATTGTACTAGCCCTCATTGAGTACCTCGGCTGCTTGGCTTTTCTTCGGAGGAAGAAGCTCCTGGGGGTATTTCAGCTCTCCCTTAGTAAAAAAAATAATAAAAAAAGTTAAGTTTTTAGATGATTCCTAAATATTTTTCATGCGGGGTGGGGGGAAGAATAAAATATATATATATCAGAGGACGATGCTTTCTTTGGGATGAGGGAGGGACACTGATCTTGTAAATATAAGTGGGGGGGAGGCGGCTTCTGACTTTGGGGTGTATTCTGCCGAGATGGGGTTGGACTAGATGACCTCTGAAGGTCCCTTCCAACCCTGTTACTGAGATGACCAGAGGGAGTTGTGTTTTAGGAGTTAATGTGAAGGTGTGAGAGGTGGCTACTTCTTCAGGAAGTCCTGAGCCTGCACCATTTTTTTAATGGGATTTTATTGGGGTGGGGATGTTCTCTTCCCTTTCTAAACTTCCCTTCTTTTCCTATCACTACTTTGTTTTTATTTTTCTCCCCTTCCTTCTCTCTTTTAATACCGGGTGAAAGATCCCTTGAACAAAATTAGAAATGACTTGGCATTCAGAGCTGCCTAGTTTAACTAGCAATTTCTTACTTCATGGCCGTTTCTTTTACGGTTTCTCCTCTAAAACAGATTTTATTGCAAGAAAATAAAAATGTCTGTCTTCTTGTTGGGTTTTTCACCAGGCTAACTTCAAAATTAGGGGGGTGTTTGCCATTTGTCTGTGCTCCATCATTGCACTGCCTTGTTTTTAAATGATGTAACTATCATCTTTAAGTTATGGGACAACTCGGTGAAATTTGGACTGGATGTTTTTGTTTCCAAATATCCGTTTCAATATTGATTTCTTTTTTGTGTGCCAAATAAAAATCCACCCTGGGAGTTTTTTTAAAAATCCAGCAGAGAATGTTCTGTTTGTCGAAGTTTCCGATTCAGAGTTTGCCCCGGTTCTCTTTTCCGTTTGTAACCATCAATTTTTAGTTCCCTTCAGTGGATTCGGAGCAGGGATAATTCTGGTACTGTATTTTTTTTTATTATGATAATGATTATTATTATTTCACACTGTAACTTAAGAAAATCTGTCTTCATCAACAGTGTTCTCAAATCAAAGATCTTGGTATATATTCTATATAGCTGCATATTTATAATATATATATATATTATATATGAAATGATAACATGTCTCCTTTTTATGTGTTAGTGTGGTTATCCGTAAAGAACATGACTTGTTCAGTTAGCAAAAAAAAAAAAAAAGAGTGAACAATATTTTTTTCCTCTACGCTCTTCCTGCTTTTGAAGTATGTATTTTCAAGGTTATTTGAACTTTTTTTTTTAAATGACTAATTTGTTGTTGTTTTTTAAAGCCTTCCATCACTGTAAAGACTAAGACACTTAGTATGATTAACTGGGGAAGACGAGATTGGCAAGAGTCTGTGAATTGCCAGGTATTTAGGGTGGGTGGGAGATATTTTCTTAGCCCACTGTCTCTTTCCAGATGTTTCCAGCCTGGAACTTAAAAAGTATTAGTTTGGTTTTCAGGTTTGGATGGTTGCATGAGATGATAAGTTCAAACCAGGGAGGAAAAGCATCAAACTAACATTTAGCTTTTAATAACTAGTGTGTTTCCCCGAAAATAAGCCCTTCCCCCCCCCAATAAGACCGCCCCCCCAAAACTCACGGTGAATTGTATTGTGTTGGGGTGTGTGTGCACTGAGGGAGCTCAATCTCATTGTACATATGTTGTGCACTGACAATAAAGATTTGAATTGAATTAAGCCCTCCCCGAAAATATTTAAGCCCATGTGCAGCCGGTCCCCGCCATTTCCTCTGGTTAGGGTTAGGGAGGCAGAGCTGGAAATCAGGTAAGACGGCAAGAGAATCCCCGTCTTGCTCCATGCGCCCCAAAATAATAAGAACCGACTCAAAAAATAAGGCCAAGAGCTTATTTCAGGGTTCAAAAAAATATAAGACAGGATCTTATTTTCGGGGAAACACGGTATGGACTTCTTAGCAGTTCTTTCTATGCAAAAAGAATCGTTCTTCTGCATTTCTGCTCTTCATTTCTCTCTGGTCTTGCAACTCCCTTCTTTTAATTAGATGGCCTATTACAGCAAAATATTAACGCATCTGAGCCTTAATAAGATTACAGGTAGTCCTCGACTTATGACCACAACAGAGCCCGACATTTCTGTTGTTAAGCGAGACATTTCTTAAGTGAATGTTGCCCCTTTTTACGACCTTCCTTGCCTCAGGGGTTAAGGGAATCACTGCCGTTGATTAGTTAGTCACCTGGTTGTTAAGTGAATCTGGCTTCCCTCATGGACTTGGCTTGCCAGAAGGTCACAAAAGGGAGATCATGTGACCTCGGGACACAGCAACAGTCATAAGTATGAACCAGTTGCCAAGCGTCTGAATTTTGATCATGTGACTGACCATGGGGAGGCTGCAACGGTCGTAAGTGTGGAAAAATAGTCACCAGTCACTTGTTGCAGTGCTGTTGCAACTTCGAACGGTCACTAAACGGACTGTCGTAAATTGAGGACTACCTGTACAGGTAATCTTCAACTCACCACCACAATTGAGACCCCAGAATTTTGTATCTAAGCAAAGTGGTTGTTAAACTGAATCGTGTCCAATTTTACAATCTTTTTTTTTTTTTGCCGTGGTCGTAAATGCGAATCGTTGCCGTTCTTTAGTGAATCATGTGGTCGCTAAGCAGATCTGGCACCTCCCAAAGGCTTTGCTTGTCGGAAGCCAGTTGGGAAGATCACACGACCCTGGAACATGGCAATTGTCCTGAATACATGCCGAATGCTCAAGGCTTGGATTTTGAGCCCGTGATCCTAGAGATGCTACGACGGTCATGAATGCAAGGACTAGTTGCCACTTATTTTTTTCCAGCGCCGTTTGAACGGTTGCTATACTAGGGGTTGTAAGTCAAGCACCACCTGCAACGTTTGCCGGTGCTGGCGTTTGCAGGACATGGTTAACCTTTCCTAGGACATCAAATTTTTGAATATGGATAAAATCAAGATAGGACCCCAGAGGTCAGGCAAAGTGAGATATAATCTGTGATGCCACCACGCTTGATTAAACTTTGCTTCGTTGGTTTGGATCATCGTCCGGGCAACGTAGATTGAGATGCAGAAAACGACATTATCCAGGCTTGGTGAAGGCGATCGGGGAATCTCCAGATAGAGAGAAGGAACAAGGAAGGAAATGAGTGGTTTGGCTTAAACTGCTTACACAGAATTCCCAGAAATAGTAAATGGGATGGAACTGAGAGCTAGGCTGTCTTTAGTTGGATCTGAGAATCTCAGGTTACTAAATCTATCTTAGTTGGAAGCCGAGGAGAGAGTAGAGAGCCAAGTGGGGAAATTGTCGGCATTGGTGCAAAGCAGCAACAGGTTTAAAAAAAAAAAAAAAAAAGAATCAAAAGTTTCACAAAACAAGAAAACTGGATAAAAGTCCAGAAAACACACTAACCAGAGGTTACATTCACTTACCTTTGCTACCGGTTTGCAAATGTAAGCGTGCGCGCGTAGGACCACCTCCGCGCATGCGCAGAGAATCAAAAATGCAATGTGATGACATTCAGGCAGGTGAGCGGAGCCTCCACTGATGGTAACTCTCTGTAGCAGGGGTGTCAAACTCGATTTCATTGGAGGGCCGCATCAGGGTTGCGTTTGACCGCGGGGGGGCCGGCGGGGAGGGGGGCGTGGCCAGCTCGACATCACTCCTGTCGGGGGCACCTGTGCAGGCCAGCGAAAACGGGGGTCCTGAGCTCCGTTTTCAGCTGTGACGGCCTCCTGCAACATTCTGCCAGTGAAAACAGAGCTCGGGAGGGCCGCACACAGCCCTCCTGAGCTCCATTTTTGCTGGCAGAGGCACCGCGGGGCAATCCTTTGCTGTTTCCAGGGCGGCCCCGCAGGCCAGATCTAAGTACCTCACGGGCCTTGAGTTTGACACCCCATGTTGTGGTTCGCCAGCAGCCTGCGGAGCTGGCAGCGGAGTCGGACAGTGAGGAGGCTGAGGAAGAACATGGGCCAGTCCTGGAGTCAAGGGAAGGCCCGGATGAGGGCTCTGCGTCGGAGGCAGAGATGGGGCCAGGGCCATCGGGGAGTGATGCACGGACTCCGGAGATCCAGAGGCTGACAATAGAGAGGCAGAGGAACAGGAGGAGCCTGTTCCTAGTGCACGTAGGAGAAGAGCTGCCAGAAGGCAAGAGCAGCTCAAGCAAAGAGGACAACTCGGGAGTAAGGCCAAGAGATGATTGGCCTCTCCCATAAGGCTTAAAAGATCAGCAATGGCTCTTCGGCTCTTTGTTGGAAAAGATTTGTTCTTGTCTTGCTGCACTTATCTCTGGTCGGTGTCTTCTGCTTCTGAACTTTTGCCAAGAAAAGCCTTTGGCAGTTTGCCTAATTATACCAAGGTTGGTGATTAGACCGAAGAATTTGTGTTACGAAGAGTTTGTTTTAATTTAGTTTGGACTGCGCTGAGAATGAGTTAATTCTCAGCTGTTCTAATAAAATCTGTTTGTTTTGGAACTGTTTGCGTCTGATACTACCTACTTGGGCCTGGGTCACAACACGCCTGCTCTATAGTACGATCTCTGCGGATTAAGATAGAATGTTTTTTTTCGGACTTCAAGAAGTTACGATTCATATCTCAAGCCCTGGTTGAAGAAACGTACAGCTCAGAATAACCTTCGAAATTCAGTTGGAGTATATATAACCCCAGGCAAGAATATTTGGAAAAGGAGCAGGTGGATTTAAGGATGGACTTCTTTGGCGCAGTGGGATCCATATGTTTTCAACACCGCGAAAAGAAGGAAAAAAAGGGCAACGGGGCACAAAGATGAAAGAGGGAGGAAAGGAAGCAGGAGGCATAGATGGTTTTCTGGCCAAATTCAACAAGATTGTGTTTTGAATGAAGGCTGTTAAGTTAAGGAGAGGAATAGTGAAAGGGAAGGCACCCACATCAAGCTCTCCAAATTGGTGCTATCTATATGCGGTGGCTCAGTGGCTAAGACGCTGAGCTTGTCGATCGGCATTTCAGCGGTTCGAATCCCGAGTGCCGCGTAACGGGGTGAGCTCCCGTGACTTGTCCCAGCTTCTGCCAACCTAGCAGTTCGAAAGCAGGTGAAAAATGCAAGTAGAAAAATAGGGACCGCCTTTGGTGGGAAGGGAACAGCGTTCCGTGCGCCTTTGGCGTTGAGTCATGCCGGCCACATGACCACGGAGACGTCTTCGGACAGCGCTGGCTCTTCAGCTTTGAAACGGAGATGAGCACCGCCCCCTAGAGTCGGGAACGACTAGCACAGATGTGCAAGGGGTACCTTTACTTTATATGCGTTATAGCACATCTGGAAGGCGTCAGTAAGGGAAGGTTGTATTCGTACCTACTGTGATGAAAAGTAAAGTTTGTTTATTTGTTGCGCCTTTATTATTTTTTACAAATAAGTCAAGGTGGCGGACATATCCATCGGACCTTCCTCCTCCTATTTTCCCCACAACAACAAGGTGAGTTGGATTAACAGAGTGACTGGCCCAAAGTCACCCAGCTGGCTTTCATGCCTACGATGGAACTAGAACTCACAGTCTCCTGGGCTTGGTGGACGTGGCTTGGTGGACGTAGCAGGGGAAGGATACTGCAAAATCTCCATGGGCCAGCCAGAGGTGGTATTTGTCGGTTCTCTGAACTGCTCAAAATTTCCGCTACTGGTTCTCCAGAACCTGTCAGAACCTGCTGGATTTCACCCTTGTGTTGAGGGAATTATTTGTTTAGCAGAGTGATGGCGTTCGGGAAAACATAAAGTTGCCAAGGTTAGAGACTCCTGGCCTATAACATGTTTTCCGTCCATCTAATTCAAGGCTTGACTTCCCGTTTGGAAAT